AGCTGCTGAGATTACAGGTATGTACCACTGCGCCCCACTCACCTTTTACTCTTAACAGTGCCTGTAGGTCAAATCCTTGGCCACCAAAGAAATATACCCCTTGGGTCCCATTTCTTTTTGTCTATCTTCTCTTTGAGATAGCCTTCAGGTGTGTGTGTGTGTGTGTGTGTGTGTGTGTGTGTATGCGCATATATGTGTACATATATGTGTATGTATACATATATGCATATATATGTATACACACACACACACACTTTGGAAGGCTATCTCAGAGAGAAGATAGACAAAAAGAAATGACTCCCAAGAGTACATTTTATTTGCATATCTATATCTGTATATCTATATATATCTATATCTATATATAATCTATACACACAYACATATACTAGAAAGACTAAGGAAAGACTAAGGAATGTGAGGCTGTACCTAAGAGAGAAAGATGCTCAAATGTAACCTGTGTTAAGATCACAGCACATTCTGGGTCTAACTTTAAGGAAGAAGAATTYTGAGATCAAAATTATATTAYACACACACACACACACACACATATGTGTGTGTGTACATATATCTTTTTAAAGGATTAATTGCCAACCATAGAAAAATGAAATGAAAGTATGAAGGTACTAGTTCCTAAGTTAGGTATATTCATTATATTCATGCCATTCAAGCTAACCTGGTTTCTGCAGCCTTAGGGGTGGGGACCTAAGCCCATCAGCCCATGTATATTTTAAAATGCAAAAACACCATGTCCAAGACTAAGAAAAKCTCCAATATTACCTCTGGAGTAAGTGATGATTCTTCTAGTTATGCTTTGCATGAACTTTTCAAGARGAAAAAAAAGTGTTTTTTTTCTTTCCCCACAAACCCTTAACATTTGCTTAATTACAAAGTAGACAGACCCCCGGACTTGTCYCCACTTAGACTTAATTACAGACCAAGAAGCCCATGAGAACAGTCTACTGTTTCTTGTGTGCAAGAAATACCTGGCATCCAAAGACAAGTCACAAACAAGAGAAAGGTAACCCATGTGGCTTTGGTTTCCAGCCCCTATCTTCCGGTGTTACGTGTCCAGCTGCATTGCACWTTCTAGCCTCTCAGTATCCCTTTGGTCTATAAATTTAAACCTATACCAGAGTGAAGAGTTATGAAAATAACTCTTGCTGGKGTCAAATTTGGAGTAGCAGCTGGAGAAACATATTTACTAAGAATTATTTCCTCATTGCAGAAAAAAACATTGTCATTCGTTCTGAGACAGCCACTGAAGTGTTTACAAGCAGCTCCTTGTAGCATTTAATGTCTGCCTAACAGGATGCTAGGAAGCTGGACTCTTCGCTTCCAGTGAGTTCAGATTCAGGAAAAGCATGGTCTGTGGGTTCATGGCTCCAAATATTCCTCTTGAAAATGGACCTTATTGTTTACATTTCTTGGATAACTTCTTCCTTACTTTTTGTCTTGTTTTGTTCTTTGAAATAATTTCTGGAATGCCATTKGAGAAAACTGGTTTCCAAGCCACTTGAAGACCTTTTGACCACAGTGTTTTAAGTGTGGTATTCTGCCACTTGTAAAATACAAGCGTTACAAAAAAGAAATAACTGTGTTCCACTGACCCCTGTCTTGCAAAGGACTTATTCTCTAGCTCMGAATAAGCCCTGTGTTTTATCGAGAGACTGTTACAAATAATTGTRAATGACACGGTACCCCAGTAGAATATATTCCTACACAAATTGCACCTCATGGAACCTTGCAGGAATTTCTTGCTGTTGGGCTATTGTTGATAGCTAATACTGATTGAGGTGAATACTGATGTTTCTAATACAATCATGGGCTGTCACATGGGAATAAAGAATCTTTCCCTAGTTCATTCCAGTACCTCTTCTCTGTAGTTTGGTAGCTACAAAGTTAACCTCCGCAACCTAATTGTCAGCAACCTATAAAAATAAAAATAACACATGGTGCCTCTAAAAGGGAAAACAACACATACATAAGGTATRTGATAGAAACTCTAGGAGAGATTAAGGATTTCCCCAATTTTCAATTTCCTTTCCACGCTTAACTTTTTGGATTAATGGCAGGAACTGCTCATGGGACAGCCAAGCTCATAGGAAATTCTGCTCTTCTGATAATCTATCCTTTTCATTCTCCTCAATGGCTACTCTAGAACTTCCTGACYCTCCTTGAACTTCCTATCCACTTTCTCTCACATTTTTACTACCAGGTGATCTTAAAATGATCTATTGCCCCATCATAACCCCTGGCCCCTTGCCAGCCCACCCAGCCCCACACACCTTCTAATCATGTCTCATCCATCCACGACTCCTCTTCATCACTCTCAGAGGAAGGACAACTGTTCCTCCAGCTCCTACTCTAATTTTGCTGCAGCAAATATCTCCCGTTTCCTGTATATCCTACCTTCCCCTTTCTAYTGATTCCTTCTTTGGATCCTGTAAACTTACTAAAATTTCCTGCAACTGTAAAACAAAACAGTAAGCCAAATAACACCGCCCTGTGTCCTCTTCCAGGAATGGGTCTCTTTTTCTTCTATTTGTAGCTAAACTGAATTTGCTATCCCTACTTCATTATTTCTCATTTAATTAGAATTTTTTAAAATTTTCATATTAAAAAAATAAACATCCATCATAAGACTATATCAGGCAATATATGAAGGAAATATTATACCTCTAGTGGTGTTCCCACCCATTAACTCTTATGTGTTCTATGTGTTCTATTAACTTATGTTTTATATTTTCATTCCTATAAGRGTTGCACTGTATATTGACAATAGATAAGAATACTCTTTTAAAGTTCGCAATGTCATTGTTATATCTGAAATGGAAATTGGCAAAACTTCCCTGATCTCTATCATCAAGTCTCTACCACTGGTAATACTTTGATGACTACTCTTCCAGACTTTTYTATTTATAGATACATAGAATAGGTATGCATCACTTTTTCTATTAAGAAGTACAGCTTAATTACATAATGCTATTGTGTAACCTGACTTTCCCCCAATACATGTATCTTTCTAAATTAAAATRTAGCTCTATATTGCTTTTTTAAAATATCTAGTCTTGTGTACATGTATCTTAATTCATTTAATCAATCACTTACATTTGTCCATAAAGTTTTGATTGATATCTTTTTCCTCTGTTATACGTAGTGTTGCTAGGAAAATTAATGTTTTGTTTTGCTGCTTTTTTTGGAGGACAAGGTTCATCTCAACTCAGAGCYATTAGAAATTATTTTAATGAGAATAATAGAAAGATTTAAACTTATACTTTTTTCAAATAATTATTTTTCCATTCACTCTTAGCTACTGCAGTTTGATTTTTGCCTGTACCATCAATCAAAGRGCATCCATGATTTCTTTTGGAGGGGGGCAGGGGTTGTACTGGGGATTTAACCCCAGGGCAATTTAACCGCATCCCCAGCCCTTTTTATTTTTTTATTTTGAGACAGAGTCTTTCTAAGTTGCTCAGGGCCTTGCAGAGTTGCTGAGGCTTTGAATTTGCGATCCTCCTGCCTCAGTCTCCCGAATCACTCAGATTACAGGGGTGTACCACTGCGCCCAGCCATCTACAATTTCTTAATTAACAGATTTTTTTCCTCACCCTTCTTTACTACCTTTCAGGATCTCTTGGCATCCTTGGTTGTTTATTTTTGCAATTTTCTTTTCCTTGGGYTTCTATAAAACCACACTTTCCTGGACTACCTCTTACATCTGATTTCCCCATCTGAGTTTTYCTGGCTGAATCTTCTTTCTCAGCCTGTGTGTTCTTCCTGGGAGGTTGAATATGAYTGTGCTTCTCACATACATGTTCTCACTGGGCAACTTAGAGCAGTTAGCAGAAATTGTGGTTYGTTTTGATAGACACTGACGGGCACCAGAGCAAGCATGTGCAACATGAAACAGGTCAGGCATTAGCCAGGTGCAGCTCAGGATTCGGAACAATTGTGCATACTGGAGCCCTGGATATGCGCAGCTCTCAGTGGCAGATGAAGCCTGAAGAAGCAGGCAAAGGCAATTATCAGTGGGTAAAGACTTGTACATGTCATGCTAGGGAGTGTAGACTCGACTCTTTCTGTCAGTCTGGTAGATTTCTCCAGATCCTTGTGAGTTATCTTATGTGGTACATCCTACATCTGCAATGTAGAAATTTCTTTTTTCATTCCTTAGAGCTGAGTATACTGGTATTGCTTCCCTTCCACGACGTGAAGGAAAACCAGGTAAAAGAAGACAGAATTCTCAAGATGGAAGTGGGGGTGGGAGGGGCAGAAAATGAGGTTTGTATAGACAGTGCATCTCAAATAAAGAATGTGAATAGGATATTGTGTGTGATGTATTGGAACTCTCAAAATATTTTTTTTCAGCCATYGGATGTACCCAGCATGAAGCTTGAGATAAAATCACCAGTTCTAGAACACTTGCAAAATAAACTCGGGGCTGAAAACAAACTCCATTACAGCATCATGTGCATGGGGCATGCTTTACAAAAGTCATTTTCACTAGGACATGGTTCTCTCCTGAGGGACACTTCTCTCAAGCACTGGAATGTGGGATGCAGTCATGCAAACATTAGGCCCTTGACCACATTGGGTTATTTTCCCACTTTCTGCTACCTCAAAAGCCATCTTTCCACCCTGAGTTTTGCCAGCTCCAAATATAAYGAGAGGAAAGTAACTCATGTCTGAAAATCAACTACACATTTTCTAGCCTTCTGGGGAAATTGCTGCTGCTTAAAATCTTATCCTTACAAGACAAACTTCCCAAGAATGCATTTCCCCCATGCTTCATGAATTCCTGTAACAGGAGAGTGGAAAGGCTCATTSCTTGTCAGTGCAGGTCATTTTGCTGTTGCACATCTTGCTGGTAAATCACATGTCTGAACTCTCATATGAATCCGATTCACTTGGGAACGAAAAACTGCCTAGAGTTCAAGGCTAATGAAAGGTAACAACTGTTAATGCAATTGGGTATGATCTCTTCCACTTTCTGTTTGCAGCCTGCAGCCTCCCCAGAGGACACCCCTGAGCTCAGYGCCTTTCTGCGAAACTCTACCATTCCTCATCTTGTCAGGAAGCGGGATGTGCCTGGTGTCCAGCTCCACAGACAGACTCCCACAAAAATACTGGTGAGTCGTCTCTGAAGAGAATGATTGGACCCGTCAGAAATCCCAGATACAGAGGGTTTTAACTTCAAGTCTTATTTGCAGTCTCCTCTGATGCTCAGATACGCCTGACATATTTTGGCAGTAAGAAATGAAAGTGACTTTTCTGTGAGGATTAAGGAGCATTTGTGATATAACCTTTTTGTTCTTCTAAACCTATCACRGAGGCCACTTTAGAGAAATAAGGATGAAAACATCAAATGTGACCTTTAATCCATTTTAAGAACATGAAGGTTCAGTTGTTAACCTGTCCACAGAGAGTCTGAAGTGAGCTTGGAGGAGGGCTGTTCATCACTGGGCCCTGAGAACCTACCTGTCCTGAATCTCAGAGTTCTCTGCCCATCCAGAAGAGTCGGGAATGGTGTGTTCAGGTTTCCTGGGTCATAATCCCTGTAGCGTCATAGCGTTAGGGTCTGTAGTTGCTCTAGGTTGAGCCTAGGCAGTACTTTGCAAAACTTTACAAAGCATTCATGAGTCAGTATTTTTGATGCAGTTCTCCTACTCATCCCAATGTTGTTTTTAGAGCTTTATCTCCTCACATGAACATCCACTACTTCTCTGACCATGTGGCAAAGGCTGAAAATGAGCATCAAGGAACAATTTAGCCCTGTTCCACAGACCAGTTCCATAAAGAGTAAGACCATACAAGTACATCTTCCAGCCTTGCACATGTAATCACCCCAAAACCCATCATYCCGGGTAGACACACCCAGAGGATTAGGGTAGGGACCGGCCCTTGGGTACTCTTCTCTCCCTACCTTTTCACTCTGTTGAAAACCCATAAGCATAAGAATATGTTTAGTTTCCTTAGTATTTTTTCTTCAGGGTGTAGCTCAGTGCCTYGCTCATTTGTTGAGCAAATGTGTGAATGACACTGTGGATGAAGTTATCATGGCTACTACTAATGGCTTTTTGAGTCACCTCCAAAATGCTCTTGTTGTGACATTCCATCTAGTCTTATTCTGCCCCCAAACCCTCAATTCAATTCTAASTAAATATATTGCAAGCAGTTAAAAAGATAGTGATGATGGAGAYTCAATTCACTAGCCTCTCTACCTACTGAATCTGAAATAAAATGACTGTTATGACAATGAACAGCTGCTTTGAGGAATATAATTATTTGAGCCAGWTATGAAACTGTAATAATTCAAAATAGCTGAAGGGAATAAATCTATGCTTGAGGAATTAAATCTCTGATTTTAGWATTTGTATGACTGGAAGAGGGGTAATAATCAGTTGAATTCACAGAATTAAAAAATTGAAAGTTAGCAAGGAATTGCAGGAGATAAAGCTTAGAATGATGGTAGGAGTGAAGGTTATGAATCATTGGACCCCCTCAACTAAAGCAGAGGATGCACTGGATACATATAGCATCATACTTGGCTAAATGAGAAAAATCAACTACATGCTAGTACATGTTGGGGAGGGCAGAGGCAGAGAAGTTCCAATAAAGGCCAGATTTGGAAAAGATACCAATTGAACACCCCCTACCTGCAGGCTCTGCTTTTCTTTGAGTTCTGAGTCCAGATCAGTTCATTCAGGGGCCTTGTCTAAGCCAGCCACAGGCTGAGAAGCATGCGAGCCTTGAGGAAGATAAAGAGGTGGGAAACTAGAGAAGTCCTAAACTGACTTCCTTTCTGTTCTCACCCTCCTATACTAACTTGGAATTAATTTATTATTGTTTTTTAAAAAGCAGAGACAAATATTTCTTTAAACTCTGGTAATCCTAATCATTTATTTCAGTTCAATAAAGTAGGATAATGCCACAAAGGATTATTCATAGTTCTGAGAATTCTGAACATGTTACCCAGCACATCGATAACATTTTATTAGTGGTAGTAAGCAGCCATCAAAGAGAGAGTATTAGGGTGAAAAGACTCAAATCCCAACTCTCTAGTTCATTGATTCAAAAAAGGGGGAGCTGGGGATGTCGCTCAAGTGGTAGCGCACTTACCTCGCATACGTCAGGCACTGRGTTCAATCCTTAGCACGACATAAAAATAAATAAGTGAAATAAAAGCATGCTGTCCATCTACAACTAAAAAATAAATATTTTTTAAATAAAAAATAAATAAAAAAGGGGAGAGTGGTTTCCAGATCCATAATTTTAATTTGGAATGATGAGAAAGTTCTGGAGATGGACGGTAGTGATGGTTGCAAAACAATGTAAACATATCTGGTGCCACATATATGGTTCAAATGGTCAAAATGATGTTTTAAACATATTTTTCAAACACTCTGGCATTCATTTATTTTATCTTGATATTAAAAGTTCAAACATGGAAGTGGACAGAAAAGTACAAGCAAACAGTGCAGTAAAACTAAGGTCAAGCAAGGAGTGTTTGTTAAAAATAGAAGTGCCTGAAATTATATAGCAAAAAGCTCTAATTGGCAGATTATGGTTCAAGTACCTATAAATTTCATAACCGTATAATAAATACATACCCATCCCATAAATTCATAGAGCTCTGTATATTGTCATTAAGAAAAAGCTTCCAGGGTAAATAATGAAACAGAAAACAATGAGTGACATCTGCAGAATTCTAATATGTACACTACCAATGGGAAAAGCCCTTTGGAAAAACCAATGTTCAAACCCACATAGAACTAACCATGTGAAAAATAGATTCAGATTGTTTTTTGTTTTTTAAATTTCCACTTCTGTGTATGTCTCATGAGTACACTGAGGCAAAAGAGATCAATAACTAAAATTCTTCTGAAAAATCATGTGCCTTTGTGTTGTAGAGTCAAATATTTTCCTTCTATTGTTTCTTATTAAATATTTTGACATAAATTTTAACTTCTGAATATCATAGAAGCTTACTTGCTCATGGATGATTGCCAAGGTAATCTTTCTTTTCCTTATCTGATTTTAACTCATCTTTTATTCACATTTTCCCTTATAGGATCAAAACTTGCAAATCATACACCTCCCTATGTCCTCAAGTCAAAACAACTCTGGAGAGTGATTATGCAGAGTTTATTCTAAAATCAAAAGCTAAATAAGACCTCCCACCGTTTTTGTTTGGTTAAAAACAACTTACTGAATCACATTTCTGATTAGGAATTTAAAAGTGCAAAATGCCAACATCCTGTGTTGGGATCATAATTTCCAATTTGCATAACATTTTTTGTATCTAAAACACTGAAATTTAATTCTCCTCCACCTAAGACTATATTTGCCTTTCTCATCTTGTTCTCCTGCTGCTCTTGTTATTATCACSTCCTTCTAATCCTCTCCAAATTTTTGTCTTCCCTTTCACTTCTCTGATTACAGAAACCTTATCTTTCTTAATTTCTCTTCAGCATTTGATACTATTGGCCACCTTCTGGAACTATTATATCCCTTGGCTTCCCTCCAAAAAATTCTCTCATGGGTTTGTCCTATGTTCTGGCTAGCCCTGTCTTAGAATAATTAAAGGGACATCTCCTCTTCCCATCCTTTAATGCCCTTGTACCTCATATGTCCATCTTCTGGACCTCTGCTTTCCTCCCAATGATTTTGCTTTTTCAGGGAAATTTCTGGCATGACCATATCTCCAGTCCTGCCTAAATGCAGCCTGCCATCTTAGCAGTCCCTTCTTGCAGTCAAGACTTGAAAGGTTTGCCTAGATGTCTAGTAGCCATCCCAGTCCYAACCTGTTCAAAACTCTTGTCTCCAAGACCACCCTAAATGTGTCTCTTCTCTAGCAGTCTCAATATTTGTAACACCAGTATGGATCCTACCAGTACCCTTCCACCCTGTTCCAATACAAAGAGCTCCCTCCACTACTCTCTCTGCTTCATTGCAAACTCCAAATGTCTATTCTACTTCCAAAATTTCTGTAAAATTCACCTTTCTGTCTTTATTCTTAATGCCTCTGTTCAGGGCCTTAGCATTTCTTATTTGGGTTCTTGCTACAAGCTTCTTAATTATCCTCYWGCCTTTAACTCTATTTTTTTCTCAAATACCACCTTTCTCTCTAAAACACAAACCTGATCATGGCCCTTGATTTAAAAACTTGACGCCAGTTCTCCAGTACCTTCTGAATTAAATCTAAGCTCCTTAGCATAAGCAGTATTGTTCACTACCTAGATTTTCTTTCTCATCTTATTTCTGTCTATCCATCTCACCCCTACGTACCCTGCCCTCCCCTTTCCTGAGCATGCCCTTCCRTCATTCAGGAGGACCTTGTGCCAGTCACCCCATTCTTCCAGGTAACTCTCACTCTTCAAGGGCCATTCCACACATCAGCTTCTCCAAAGTCCTCCAACAGAGCTAGCTAACCAGGATTGAAATCTCCAGGGAGGTCACAACAGCCACCAACTGGCTTCCCTCTTGCCTCCTGGGGGTGGGATTAGCAGTGAGTAGCATCTTGATTGTGGAGCATAAAAAATGTAAGAGTCCCCATGAGACCCAGGAAGTGCAGAGCTTTGGGATCTCCTACTTCCATCATCAGCACCTCAGGCTCCAAATCTAATAGACAAGGATAGCCCAGTTACCTATATTTGGAAGCATCCTGTACAAATCTGACCTTACCAGAATTTATTCTGATATATGTTACTGATTGCTTAGTTTTTAGAGAATTCTTTGTTCCTAAAAATATTCTTATGGTAATATGCTCTTCAGGTTATTATGTTATGTATCAATTTCATTAAAGTGAAATGCTTTGGTCAAGTGCTTCACATAATGTTCAATAGACTTATTTGTGATGGGCACCTGTAGTCCAGTGTTTGAGACATGAAAAATGAATAAGGATAACCCCTAAGATAAATTCAAAGCAATGAGGAAGTATTCTGTAATGCAAAAAAAGAGTACATGTATAATGGCATAAGTTGGTGTGAACATATTGTATGTACAGAGATACGAAAAATAGTGCTCTATATATGTAACAAGAAATGCAATAAATAAATAAATAAATTCTTTTTAAAAAKAAGTATCATTCTGTACAATGGCACATAGAAAATTGGCATCCATTAATTTCCATACTGGAATTCAATCTGCAATTTGATTGATAAAATATTATTGGTTTGATAGGTAAAATGTCATCATAATGAACACTTTCTAGGATCATGCATCTCATATATCCAGAGTGACCCATTATAAGTTGGGAAACCTAAGGAAMTGGTTAAAAACAGCCTGATGAATAGAATTCACAAAAGGGCCTGCTCCACAACTAGGAAGTATTTTGGGCAGAGAGAAGCATGTTAACAAATGCTTATCAATAGGTCAATAATTTTGAGTCTCAGATTATGGACTTGGGAGCTTCCTCTGTAACCCTCTCCATACTTGCTCAATATAGCAACTAGTGGAAAGAATGTCTATAAGAAACATCTTCCCAGGTTCTGAGTAAATGAAACAGAACAACTCATTGACTATTTCCAGAAGATGAGTACTTAGAAGAGAACTTGCATTTTATGCATGTCCATTTCTCTCTCTTACCACTAATATCCATGCATCATTACCACTARCCTACTTGTCCTTGGTTGTTTCAATACGTCTGTTCTTTCCTTAAATTAAATTTGCAGATAAGGTAGTGACTTCTGAAGAAATAAAATGGAAATAAGTGGACTTTAATGTTGATTCTCTACCAGCATTTAAAGAGACTGCCTGTTTTAGTCAGCTTTTTCACTGCTATGACTAAAAGACCCAGTCGGCACAGTTGTAGAGGAGGGAAAGTTTATTTGAGGGCTCACAGTTTCAGAAGTCTTAGTCCATAGAAGTCTGGCTCCATTCTTCAGGTGAGGCAGAACATCATGGTGGAAGAGTGTGGCAGAGGAAAGCAGCTCACATGGTGATCAGAAGCAGAGAGACTCCATTCTCCARATACAAAATATATACCCCATAGCCACACCCTCACTGAACCGCTTCCTCSAGCCACACCCCACCTGCCTCTGGTTACCACTCAGACAATTCCATCAGGGATTAATTCACTGATTARGTTAATGCTAATACCCCATCACCTCCTCTCCAAACCTTCTTGCATTGTCTCACATGTGAGCATCTAAATCATAAAACTGCTCCTGTCTTTTAATGTGCTGTCCCTGATGTTGGGGGTTTTTGTCTTGTTTTGTTTTGTTGCAGAATTGTACAAATATCGAGTGTTTGCAAATCTCCTGTGTAGTGGGACGACTAGAAGGAGGAGAGAGTGCAGTTCTCAAGGTCAGATCTCGACTGTGGGCCCACACGTTCCTCCAGGTAATAATATCACAGATACATCTACATACCATTCACTGGAACCTCTTCTCAAAAGTTCAGTGAGATGTCTTTAAAATAAATTTTTAATTTAAATATATTTAGACTTTCTAATTTTAATTTTTTTTCCTTGCTGTACTAGGGATTAAACCCAGGGCCTCCCACATGCTAGGAAGCCTTCTACCGTTGACTTAACATTCCCAGTTCTTAATATTCTCACTTTAATTTTTAAGTTTTTATCATTTGGGCTGGGGATGTGGCTCAAGCGGTAGCACGCTCGCCTGGCATGCGTGCGGCCCGGGTTCGATCCTCAGCACCACATAC